CAGACAGCTTATAGGGAGTAAAATTATCTACAAAATGAGACTGGTTAAATTAAAATCGGTTAATAAACAAAAAAGTTATTGCAAAAAAACAAGAAAAGTGCCCATTTTTTAATTTGTTTATAACTATCGCATTTATTGTTAAAATTTTATAAAACCTATGACAAGTTGAGGGTTTTGTCATACTTCAAAAGTGTGCCAAAAGTGGGCGCTGTAGATGCAATAGTTTTCGCACAATTCTGATTCTGAAGGCGTCATTGTAATCTTAAAGACGTAATTAAGCGACCTATTAAAAAATATCACCGTTTTTTTGACACTAACATTCTCAAATTGTACATTAAAAAACCGTGCGTTTTTCGCTTATAAACAATTTGAATAACATTGTTGTTATTTGTGCTAACTCACCGAAAGTAGATGCAATGGATAGCTGGCAAAAGAATACAGTTTTAAAATAAAAAAAGTACCCTCTCCGACCAACAGGAGCCAGGATAAGAATTTAAAAAAAAATCGTAGCGCAATTGTTTATGAATATTAAGACTTGAATTTTTCAAGTTCAAATTGATGCGCGCTGTAAATTTTGCAATATCTCGGCTTCTATTCATCGTAGAAACTTATTTTTTTTTTAAACGGGTAGCTCGACGAAAAAATGACAATGGGCATATTTACGAATTCGTAGAATAGCCCTGAACCCCAGAAAAAATACATCTTTTATAATTAATTTTTTTTAATTTACAAAAATAATTCCGAAATTGAAATTTTAATTAATATTTCGTTTAACAATAATTTTTGTGACATTACAAATTTCGTTACAATAAAAAGTAATTTTGAGTTTTAAACTAAGTTCATTTTATAGAAAATCTGCGTTAGAATGGAGGAAGGTCTGTTATTTGTGCATTAATTCATATGTAGACAAACTGTGTAATAAAATTTATCTAAAAATGTATTGCTGGTTGGCTATTTGCTATAGAGCCCTCTTGATAAAAATGTATCAATAAAACTTATGTATGGTCCATTTACTATCAGTTTGCAACGACGTCACATTGCGGAATGGCACACCGTAGCCTGGTTGTATTTTTTAAAGATATTTAAGAAAATACATTTTTGATCCAGTTTATTAAAACTGTAGCCTAGAAACACATATTATGAGGTCTGTTTAAATAATTTAGGAAACAAAAAAATAATTTTGATTTAGAATCGTGCAGTTGATATTTTCTAGGGTCCTCTAATGCGAAGCAGAGCAGGAATATAGAATTGTTCTATCTGCTGTACTAAATAACTAAACGTGAAGTAATTGCAAACTTATAAATAAACTTTATATGATGGGAGACGACTAAGAACTGTTGGTTGGCAGACGTTACAGGAAAAGTGAAAGAGCAAATAGGAAATTGTAACTGATGTTCTTTATGGCATGATGATTTACGTAATTGATTTAAAATTACATCTTGGCAAGTTTACCGTCATGGAAATTATTTTTCCCAATTTGACAAATGTGTTTTTTACATCGTATGAAAGTTCTCATCCTTCTTACCAACTTTTATTGAAAAAGTTTTTCGATATCTATTCCCGTTCAAAAGATATAAAAATGTTTGTACAGAAAAAGCCTGGTTGCATCAAGTCTGTTACTGATTTTATCAACGTTGCCGTGGAAAACAAATTATCGCCGATAAGATCAACACAATAAATTGAAATTTTAAATCAAATATTTATATCATGCCATAAAGCTCTTCGCTTGGCTAGCCATCAGTTCTGCGTCATCCACTTTATATACGTTTCTCAAAATCATATGTCTGAAGAAAACAATGTTACTGGAACAACGAAAACGTCCGATAAAAAGTCCTATATTTTCTGCAGTTGGCTATGTATGTTTTAAGACTTGGGATGGTCTCGGATCTGTTGTCAGAAACCTTGGTCAACGGTTTCACTTGCGCCTCAGCTTTCCACGTGGTCTCCTCCCAACTGAAAGATCTCCTGGGCCTACACATCAAGAAGAGACGGGGAAATTTTAGCTTTTTATACGTAAGTTGTTGCCCTCATACGAGTAAAAGTCTAATGAAACAATTGAATAGAGGGTGAGGTTAATTTCTACACTCTTTTACATGTTTTTCGAGGAGATACACAAAAAGTAGTTCAAAATGACATACAGAACGAAAACCGCATCTCGATGTCTTGGTTTTTTAATGAGACAAAGCACGTTTTTAATTTTTAGACTTTTCCAAATTTTGCAACTGGTCACACTCAGTCCTTCCAAACGCTACACTGTTTTTCATTGTCGGCATCTTCAGTCGTGATTTTACAAATGTTGACTGAGTCGCGACGAAGTATTTGCGTATAAAGTACAAAACATACTCTAAGTGTCAAAATTGACCCACTTTGCATCACTTATAATATGTGGCGTGTATAATATATAAAAATTAAACTACAGCTTCCTGATGATATTTGTAATAGAAAAGTCTTATACAAAAAAATTCTATCTTCGCGTATTTTCTTGCAAATTATAGTTCATTTATTCAATGAAAATGAAGGCCGACCCTGTGTTATTTATTAAAAACTTTGCAAATGTTTTTATGCGACCCGAGATGCGACTCATAATTTAAGTCGGTATAATTTAATAGTAGTAATACTAAAAGGAGGTTAGGTTAGATTGTCAAAAAACTGATTTTGTATTTGTATTGAATTCATTATTCACTTAATTATTAAATATTAAGCATCGTCGATTGACCTATCAGTGTTAAAAAGTGAAAGATTCCAGACAAAAGTTTTTATTTTGTAATTCCACGATAGTGACAGTGCAATTTTTATAAAGAAGTAAAAAATAATAATAGCGTGTCGATTATATTAAAAACGAGGTTCTTATTTCTTACTTTGCTTAATTTTTTAGTTTGTGCACAAACTAGTTTTACAATGAACCGGGAAAACATGCATTTACTATTTCCGAACGTGTCGATATGGTGTTAGTGTATGGTGCAGCCGGAGAAAATCCATTCGCGGCGACTAGGTTGTACCGGGAATGATGGCCACAACGTCACCTCCCATGTACAAATACAATCCTACAGTGCCTGCTACAGCGGCTGCGAGATACGGGAAGTGTTATTTCTCGAGGAGAAGGACGTGGTCAGCAAGTGAACCTTAATGTTGAAGATGCAGTGTTGGAAAATCTTGACGAAGACCCCACAATTAGTACTCGACAACTCGCACAGCAAGAAGGAACCTCATATACCGTACATCGCATCTTAAGGCGCCAGCTGCTGCACCCCTATTATCTGTAACCAGTTCAACATATTTTACGCCCAGGTTGTGATCAACGAATGCGTTTTTGCAGATGGTTTTTACGGCAATGTGCCAATCAAATAGACTTTCCTGCTTATGTTTGTGTAACAGATGAGGCGATATTTACCCGTGATGAAGTGAATTTCCATAATATGCACATATGGGCCGATGAAAATCCTCACGCGATTAGGGAAACTCATTTTCCACATCGGTTCTTGGTAAATGTTTGGGCTAGCATAATAGGCGATGTACTTGTGGGTGCCTATTTCTTTGAAGGTGGACTAAACACACACACTTTTGAATGAAATGTTTCCTCAGCGATGGATTGGACGCTTTGGTCCTGTGCCGTGGCCACCTCGGTCACCCGATCTAACTCCAGCGAACTTTTATCTTTGGAGTCACTTAAAGTCATTGGTTTACAATACTCCAATTGCTACGGTGGAAGAATTGCGAAACCGTATACTTGAAACTGCTGACACAATTAGGTGAATACCTGGAATTTGGGAAAATATTCGCAAAAATTGGGTATGTCGTATACTGGGATTTTTTTTTAAATTCCAGAAGATGGCCAGATTTCAGCCTATCTTCATATATTTTTTCTAAAATACTCGTAAAAACTTGTACTTTCATGTCCAAGTGTTATAAATTTGATTTGGGTCATATCTTCCCCTCAAAAGATTAGGCCTACTGTTCTCTCACTCTTAATATCCAGCGTTTTATACTCTGAAAATACAAAAAAAAACTATGAAATTTGGCAACCTAACTTCTTAGAAATCAGTTGATATGACCGAAATTAAATTTACGACATCTCAGAACTTTACTAAGTACACTTTCTTCCAAATTACATTACTTTTACTACTCCCTTACCCTTAATATTCAACGTTTACTTTCTGGAATAACGGAAATCGGCAACTTAACCTCTTAAAATTCAATCAATATGACCCAAATCAAACATATACCATCTGAGATCTTCAGTAGGTATATCTTCCTCTCAAAAAATTACCCCTACTGCTCTCTCACCCTTAATATTCAACGTTTTATTTTCTGAAAATACAAAAAAATAATGAAATTTGGCAACCTAACCTCTCAAAACTCAATCGATATGACTCAAATCAAATTTATAGCACTTGAGCATGAAAGTACAAGTCTTTACGAGTATTTTAGAAATAAATGTATGAAGAACGGCTGAATTCTGGCCATCTTCTGGAATTTTGAAAAAAAAAAACATCAAAAATTCCAGTGTGCGTCGGTGCCATATCTGTATCCGCGCTAATGGGGATCAACTTCAACATTTTCTCTAGAAATGGTAAATTTTATTTCATTTTGTTCCATATTTTAATGGAGTTTAGTGCACGCAGTTGGCAACTACAGATGCCTGCGGATGTGGTTTTGTTTGCGAACTCTTGCAGTAACAACAATGCATTTAAGATAGTAGGTAATTATTATAATAAGAAAATATCTGTTTTTTTAAAATATCTATTTTTCTTAGTTTGTACTTTTGCAGTGAAAAATTCCCTAAAAATAGAGAAGTTCCAGAGAAAATATTTTGATCCATAATTGAACTTTAATTTACGAAAAAAAAACGCAAAAATAGGACATTTTAGTATAGGACTTTTCTATTACAAATATCCTTAGGAAGCTGTAGTTTAAATTTTTTTATAAATTATACACGCCACATCCTGTATATAAAGTTATTACAATTTCTCTTATTGTATTCCAAATATTTTAACTGTTTCCAGACAATATACGATTCGATACTAGCCATTCCTGGTGCTAACTTGAAAGCGATGATGATCTCTTTCATAGCTATGGTGATACTTGTGGCAAATAATGAATTATTCAAGGTAAGGCATACAGTTAAAGAAATACAGTTTTCCTGTTCATTCATTTAACCTAATGGTTCCATTAGACAATCTTTTTTTGTGACAAAATATATGGCGCTCTTATAATCTCAAATACAAACCGCCATCTATTGCTCTCTCTTTCAGTTACTGACCTCTGTTAAAAGTATGGACTGTCATTTTTAAGATTCCCACAGCTCAAAGCTTATTAAAAAGACATCAAACTTAATAAAAAAGGCATAAGATGATAATTCCAATTTCTTAGGCCAAATTATTAGAGTTATTAGACAGTGATAAGGAATGAGAGGATGCGATACCTAAACGTTCTGGTACCTAATAATAACGCAGTTTATAAATGTTTAATTCAAAAGTCATAAATAACCTTTTTCTGTTTATAACTTTTCTAATCTAATCAATATTTTTTGACACTCGAGGGCTAGTTTTGCATGTCTTTTGAAGACGAAACAAAAAAGTACTTTACTGTTTTCTCGTGGAAATGAACGGAAAAAAGTTATAAGCGAAAAACGTCAATCTTCCCCCCCATTTGTATGACTGTGGAAACTAATATGTTATTGTACATAATATTTAGCATCTATAGCGATAAATTCAGCTTGCTGAAACAAAAAGTCGCGCCCAATTCTATATTTCCTGGTCTATTCTATTTTGTAAATAAATTTAGATATACATTCGTCTGATTTACAACTAGACATTTATCATCAGTACCGATTTTAGCCATGGTTGTCGAAGAAAACTAGGATACCATTCCCCATAGAGCTGGTGGCTGTCGTGATAGGGACTACTGTCAGTTATTTTGGCAACTTGAACGCGAAATATAATATCAGCGTTGTAGGACACATCCCAACAGGGTAGGTTTGTATAACTATTAATTTTTTAATATAAGTTGTATAGCATGATGCTAAATCTGTTTAAAAAGCGTATTTAGTTTGTTTTTATTTGCAAGCTCGATAACATTCCCCTGATAAAAAAATACTGACCCAATTGACCCATATTCTGTTTAGATTAGAGGGACTTAAAGTCCATTTGAAAATGATGAAGAGAGATAAACTTATGCACATGCGTACGTAAGACAAGGGTGAACAGCGCGTTTGCAAAGTTCTATTGCAGCGGTGGTGCATGTACAGAAATCTATTTTAATAATAGAATTTATATGAAATTAAATAAAGAATAAACGAAGTATCAAACTTTTCTTTGTAAAAATCGCTACTTCATTTCATATGTAAAATCAGAAATAAGAAAAATTGCCCTCTGACCGTATTTTATTGAGTTGTTCGACTCTCAAACATTTTTAGATGGACCATACAACTGTTTAGCATGATATTGATCCTTAATATTTGTAGTCGTTATGTATGTATTAATTAGAATAAACAATAGAAATATATATTATGTTAGTAAGCCGCTTTATGCTCACAATACACAATACTACTGATTGCCATAAAAACAGGTGACATACATTCGACCAAAGCGGCAAACTCACTCATACACGTACGAACGACAATGAAATGAACCGTCAACGTTCTCGGAAAAGCACTCGAACAGGGCAGGCAGGGGTGCCGTTACATACGTACCGAATAAATTGATCGATGCGAAGCTTTAGGTCACAGGCAGACATGTACATGTTTTTGTACAATGACGCGGATAGTGGGAGTACTAAAATGTGGCGTAGATCGTGTTTTGCCACCATTAGTAAAAATCATTCAGTCGAATTTACGATTTGTGAGCGCCAAATAGATCCGCCATTTTGAATTTTGTAAATCTGACTTCGAAATCGGGATCTGCGACCCAGAAAACCCCTGTTTACCAATTTCGGTATTGATATACAAGGTGGTCCGAATTTTATGCAGGAAACTTCGAGGGTAGATAGATCTCTTTAAAATAATAGGTGTTTGCCTTATAAACATAGGTCTGGAACGGCTTCGTTTTAGAGATACAGGGTGTTAAATTTGTTAANCGTCAACGTTCTCGGAAAAGCACTCGAACAGGGCAGGCAGGGGTGCCGTTAGATACGTACCGAATAAATTGATCGATGCGAAGCTTTAGGTCACAGGCAGACATGTACATGTTTTTGTACAATGACGCGGATAGTGGGAGTACTAAAATGTGGCGTAGATCGTGTTTTGCCACCATTAGTAAAAATCATTCAGTCGAATTTACGATTTGTGAGCGCCAGATAGATCCGCCATTTTGAATTTTGTAAATATGACCTCGAAATCGGGATCTGCGACCCAGAAAACCCCTGTTTACCAATTTCGGTATTGATATATTGATTTTTCGAAAATGTTGTCCGCCATATTGGATACGCCATTTTGCAAATTTGACTTCGGATTCGACCTCGAAAACCCCCATATTGCTTAATTCCGTGAATTTTCTGAAAATCTTAATTTAATCTTAATTTTTAATTTTTTTTTTAAAGTGAGACTCACTATCTTCATTCTGACAGTGGATTCGGATTCAGCGAGTCGAAATACCGTAGAGTATGTTGTTCTGGTCAAAAGAATATTTTTTTCTTTTTTTTTAAAGTACTTTTTGTTGAAACAACGTATTTTTTTGTGAGGTGCCTTAATGGAACCACCATTTTGAGGTTATGTTTGATGATTTTTGCAAAACAGCAGACGGCATCAAAAACTAGAGTTCAAAACGAAAATTTTGATACCCGGCAGAGTTTTTTTTTTCGTAAAAATAAAATGGGCAGATGAGGTCGCTGATTTGAAAAAGAATGCCCCATACATATTTTTTTACATTTAGTGTAGAAAAATAGACACTGCCCATTTTTTTTTTCTTGTTTTTTTGGTTTTTTTTCTTTCCTTTTTTCCGGGTTGTTTCACCTTTTCCAAAAATTTTTTTGATTTTCCGGGGGCTTCAATTCCGTTTTTTTAAAAAATTTTAAACTATTGTAAACACTATAGCAACGACGACTGTAAAATCGGATTTCAGCATTCGGAGTCGCTGAGGCCACGTGGTTCTCCACGCGTATTGCGCATGACACTAGAGACTACAGCTGTCCAGCTATGTAATGGTAGAAAGTACTACAACTTCAATAATTTTTTTCTCAGGAACTATAAGGATTAGAAAAATTTTTTTTTGGGATATGGATTCCATTCCCAAATTTTTTTGGATAAGTTGTGAATCACCCTTATATCAGCAAATTCCACTGCTTCTGCTGCTATTATATTATTAATTAACAAAGTTAATTTGTGGTTTTAATTAATAAAATAATTTGAGATGCCTGATGTTACAACAACTGTTAAAAATTTTGTCCACCGACTTGTAAACACATTTGAACCCGTCTTACTCAGTTTCTACGAACTGTCACAAATGTTGTCTTGCTTCGCCATAACACAAATGCTTCACCACAACACAAATGTTGTTTTCCTTCATCATAGATTAAAACGATAACCAATTTCTCCGACTTGCTATACACGTAAGCCATTTTTGACACTTGAAAAACTAATGTAAACACTATCGCAGAAATGTTAATACAAAAACAAACCTTAGATTACCAGAACCGGCCCTGCCTGCTTTTGAACTGATACCCCACATCTTCCTGGACTCTTTCGTCATCACCATGGTCTCATACACCGTCACCATGTCCATGGCCCTGATCTTCGCCAGGAAGCTGATGTACGAAGTAGACTCGAATCAGGAACTTCTGGCGTTGGTAAGTAACCCGACTCGACCGCCATCAAACCCGTTGTAAACATATTTTTAACGTCCTAGGGTGTCAGCAACACTGTCGGATCTTTCTTCTCTTGCATACCGATCACGGCCTCGCTGTCGAGGTCGATGATCCAGCAGGCGGTAGGAGGGGTCACCCAGATAGCCTCGGTGGTGTCCTGCTGCATCCTCCTGGTGATTCTGCTGTGGATAGGGCCGGTTTTCGAGACGTTGCCCAGGGTAAGTGTATTTTTTTTGCTTTGAGCTTTGAAGTCGAATAAAAAAATTCATTTCCAGTGCGTTCTGGCGAGCATCATCGTCGTAGCTCTCAAGGGCATGCTCGTCCAGTGCACCGCCGTGTTGAAGTACTGGCGGCTGAGCAAGTGGGACGCCGTGGTGTGGTTCATAACTTTCGCCACCACCCTCTTCGTCCAGATCAGTTACGGGCTGGCGGCGGGTGTAGCTGTGTCTTTGCTCAGCGTCTTCATCCAGGGGTACAAGCCTTATACTTGCTTGTTGGGCATCGTGCCCAATACGGACCTCTACTTGGATATCAAGCGGTACAAGGGGGTGAGTAAACGGTTTAATTTTTTTATTGTTTTCCTTTTCTTAGACCTGTGAGTTAAACTAATAGTCCAACCAAATTAAGTACACTTGGAGAAAAAAAAACATTGTTACCTGGACTGTTATAAGTGAAAATGGTAAAAGGGCTTATAATAAATCTAAAAAAAATAAATGAAGTGAGCAGGGGCGGCGGAGGGTTGATTTGGGGGGTTGAAATGTTTAGAAAAATTGTATCATTGTGATTTCTGGCGAAAAGTGACGTCAAACAAAAAAGTATTCCATATAAAAATTGTAGATCATGCAAAAGTCTACAACTTTGACAGCAATCACTTTTTAACATAACCTCAAAATTCCCGAGAAAAATACGAAAAACCGATTTTTTTTCTGATTTTTCGTTTTTTATTTCTCATTTCCGCAAAAATAATTTTATTTTGACGAAACTTGGTGAACGTATACCTTTCTCAGGCTTAAATAACCTCAAATTTTTTTAGATAAAAAAATCAAGAAGTTTCTGAGATATTCATTTTTTTCAGCCTGAAACACTTTTTTTCAAAGAAAAATTCTACTTAAAAAAATCGTCGTACTGAGTTCTGCCGGTAATAATTTTTTTCGTTTTGACATATCTTTTTAGTGAAATAAAAAAATCTATAATAACATTTCAAAAACATGCTCAAAATGCAAAAAAGATAAAAAATGACTTGCAACAATGAATTTTTCAGTTATTGTTGATAATTTGTTCAAATTAAAGATCATTCAAAAATTGATTACACCATTCAATTCTACGGAAAAAAAATAAAAAACTGTGTCTTATTGTTTGACCCAAAACTTTATTTTTGTACAGTGTTGCTATAAACATCTAAGTCGAATTATAAATGCACAAATGATAAATTATCTCAGGATGATTAGAGATTTCAGCAATACAAAGTATTACCTAAGTGCAAATTCTACTGTTGACGCGAAATCCGAAAACCTGAAATTTTACAAAATCGCTTTTATTTTTTTTCTGGCTTTATTTGAAAACGAATTTTAAATAAATTGCATATTTACATTGCCACTTTTTTCGCTCTATCCAATGGCTTCAACATTTTTGCAATCTGACGTTTCGTCTTCGACGGGCCATCATCAGATTAATTTTTTTAAATATATCGCTGCTATTTTTATGACAAAATCTAGTCATTTTTAATTCTGTATTAGATGATATTATTATTGTAATCGCTTAAAAAGGTTTTTACCGTTTCCTACATCCTAATGCTATCCCATCCTTATCTTGGACACACTGTATATCTATGAATTCATCAAACTTTAATAAAAATAAGTACACTAATCGATCCTACGGAAAAAAA